AAAATTGATAATGTTTTTTTGACACATATAGAGAGTATCTTCAGTTTGTATATGTGCATATCCATAATTATCATATGTTAGATTGGCTACTTAAACAAGAACAGTGACTTATGAAATATGTTAGTGATATATCTATCTATAGATATTAAAAAATTATAATGAATTAGTCTCAAGTTTAATCGTTTAGTTTGAAAATCTTACAACAACAGTAAAAAATTAAACTTGATAAATAAATTAAATCTATGATGTATAAAGGAACTTCTGTTTTATTTCCCTTTTTTATATCTCAACATATACCTTGATAAATCTTTAGGGTTAAAAACATATCTATACGAAAGTAATATCATAATCCCTTAAATATTATCTAAGATATAATAGGATAAGTAACCCGTTGAATGAAATAAATCGAATTTTAAAACAAAAACTTCTAAATCATAGCTTATCATTTGCTTATTTTAATGTGTATAAAGTTATACATGTAGTTTGTTTGGGATTGAATACTCTTATTGAACACTATAAAAGGAACATTTATATAATTCAATATTGAATGTGTAGAAAAACCTAAAAGGATAAAGATATTCTAATTTGGAATGCGCCAAGCCAAACGCATTTCTTATCGATACATGTAACACATGAATATTTTTGTAGCAAATAACCAGACACAAACTCAAAAATTAACACACTATACCACCATTTTAACCAGAACTTAATTAGATAATTGGGTTCACAAAGTTATTTAAAAGTATAAGGGTCAAAGTAATAATTTTATTCCATTCACTTCAAGACCAGGCCTATTTCGATATGAACATATATAAAGATTTAAGAAATAATTTAATGGGTAAGAACAACATGATATTTTCCAAAAACAATTATATTTGAATAGATTTTGTTACATTGTATTTCTTAATAGCAATACATAAATACATGAATCTATATTCATTTAAGAAAAAAATATTCAGTGAAAGATATACTGGCATATCTGAAATTATGAACATTAGATTATTTTAGGTAGTTTCTTCATTTAGTCAATTAATTGATAGATACATGTATTTATGTATTGCTGATAAAAAATGCAATGTAACAAAATCTATTCAAATATAATTGTTACAAAAAGAGATATACCAGTATATATTGCTATTAAAAGAGATATGCCAGTATATCTTTCACTGAGTGTAAAAACAAAATGCTATTTTTCAAAAACAAAGAGATTTGAATAGATTTTGTTACATTGTATTTCTATGAGCACTACATAAATATGTCTATCTATCAATGAATTGACCAAATGAATAATCAACCTAAAATAATAAAATGTTCATAATTCCAGATATGTCAGTATATCTTTCACAAAATATATTTTTTCATACTAATTTTTCAATATTATTAAAAGAGAAAATGTTGTCAATATTGATCTAGTAATATGTTTTTACTATTTTTTGTAAAATTAAAAAAAAAAAATATTTTTAACAAGATTAAAATATAATAAAATTTTGTTTCGAAACTATTTTATTAATAATAATTTAAAAATAATTTAACTATGCAATAGTTTGATAAATGTATAACTATTTTGTTTTTCAAAATTGTATAAACTCTTGGTAAAATAATTGATTTTTGATTAATCAAATTATTCTATTTATTTATGGAAATTTTTGATCTAAGAAAATAAGATTTTTGACTTAAGTATAATATATACTCAGATTTATTACCAAGTGTGAACTTATAATCTGACAACTACAACACAAGCTGGAAACAAAATATTCTCTCATGTTTTCCAATTTTGAATCTATTTTCAACTTCCATTCCCTAAACTACATTTTTATCATTTAAAAAACATCAACTATTTTTATATCTTTAGACTCCTATAATTTAAGTTATGAAAAAAATCACTCTTCAAAATGGCTATTTTATGTTTCTAACCTAGATATAATATATAAATTCAAAACATTAGATTTTTAACTATGAACTTAAGCGAATAATATTTATAATGCTTTAGTTTGTGGGTCACTTTAC